GGGAAGTGATTCGCTAAGTCTGTGGGGAGAAGGAAAACAAGCCCAGTTAGGGAAGACAATCATTTGCTCATTCATTTAGGAATTATTTATGCTCTAGTTTGACAAGCACTTCTAGTGGACACAACAGACAAAATCCACCGGGTCTCCTTTCCCATGGTGTCTGGAAGTACCTGGATATGAAATGGCAAATTAGATTCTACTGAGGTAATCCACAACAAAAGACACGCAGCTAAAAATGCAGTTGATGAGTGTTGGGAATTAGAAGTAGTTCTCTAGCTGTGGTATGAAAAATAAAATTATGGAGTTCCTCAATGAGTTTATGAAATTTGACTCATAAAAAAGATGAAAAAACAAGCTTTTGTATACAACAGAAAAGTAGTTAATATTTGCTTTTTCAGAACGCTATTATAATAAAAAACAGTATTAACAAAATATTAAAAGTATATTTTAAATAAGGAGATGAAACCGTTTTCCATTAACTTCTGAGAAATAACTCAAATCTCTTCCAGATTCAGATTTAGACTTTTCTCAGTAAAAGGAACAAATACAAAATGTCTCTGCCCACGTGACTACATTAAATTTGCCCAGGAACCTCATGGAATCTAAACTATGTAAGCCCAAACTCTAATCTCCCATTACCATTAGGTCAACTTCAACTGACATAGACCCTATTAGACAGAGTAAAACTGTTCCATGGGGGATCCAAGCCTTTTTTTCCCCCCAGTGAGTTGGCATTGCTAGTGGTTTTGTTTTATTTTTGTGGTTTTATGAGTTAGAATTGACTGAATACCACACAAGAACTGTACAAAAGTGACCCACATCTGAAACATCATTTAAGAACAATATTTATGATGCCTTCAACAGGACAAAACCAAGACAAAGTCAAAGACATATCATCCAGATGAGGGAGATCATTAGCACAGAGATATAATGCGGCTGAGAGTTCGCAGAAATTTAGCCCCTTAAATGGGACATGTCACAAAAGCATGCTTTGCAGCTGATCCATACATCAGCATTACACCTGGGACCACAGTAGTGGGAAAAGGACCATGATTAGTACTAACCCCTTCTTTTTTGCACTCCGTGTGGGGCAAGGCCATTCACACCACAGGTAAAATGGTCAGGAAGAATTCATTGGGGATTGGATTGCTGTAGAGACTCACACATGGACTCAGGCAGGTCTTCCACTGAAAACCCTAGCAGACTTCATCCTCAGAAATGTAAGGAAACAACAGGTTTCTATCTGGTAACTTCCGGCTCCCTGTTATCATCAAGCAATTCTTTCTCACTATTCATCATTGCTTTTCCTTCTCGGCTCAGAGAGATCTCTTTGGAGGAAAGACCTACTCAGGTCTAGCTTCCTCTCATCTCACTGCCGCAGACCACTCTCTCATCCATCTGCTAGGGCGATTCAATTTTGTCTCCTGTGTGAAAATCATTCAAAGCTGATAAACACCTTGAAAAATTTTTTTAGGTATTTTATTCTTAATTTTTTCCTTCCAAGTTACAAGTCCCCTCCACCCCAGTTTAATTGGCACATAATTTCCATGTCTTAGAATTGAAGCGTTCAATCGTTTAAACACATCAAGAGGGGATTGTACAATCACCACCACATCCATCCTACAGCATTCCCTCCCCCCATGGTTGACTTGCCCCCAAAGTGAGCTGCTCAATCTGGATCAGCTCCAGTGCTTCCCCCTCCTCCTGCCTTTATTATTTACCCCCCAACTCTCCTTTCCCTTCCCTACCACCTCCCCCCTCCCTTACATTCCTGTGCATCAGTTATTAGCATTGCACATCCACTCATGTGCTCCACAGCTGGGAAACCCACAGGCCCTGAATTTTTTTCTGGACCAATTATCATTTAGAGGTTCCATGACAAAAACCTCTTCCTTGACTTCTTGAATGTTGATGGGGGGGTCTTCTCTCTCTCACAAATTATTTGTATGTTGGCTTTATACAAACATGATAAACACATTTTTATTTTATGTATTCACAACCTCCAGCCATCAAATCAATCCTTCATTGTGACTACAGTGCAGAGTGGAACTACGACAGCGGCTTCCACGGCTATAGATCTTTTTCTTTTAAACTTCATGTGAAAAGTTTGGTTTTGCATGCAGCAATCCATGCATATTTTGTTCTGTGACATTGACTGTGGACCCGCTCCTTCCCAACACTATTCCCATTCCCTCCCATGTGCCCGGCTTCCCCATCCATTTCTGTTTCCTGAGCTGTTTCATTGAGTCCCTGTGCCCTTTTGATCTCCTGTAGTTGATTGTTCTTGGAAGAACCTACCCCGTGTTATTGCTCACCCGCCTGAGTATCATTTGAGTGAAAATGAAGCCCAAGTTTTAACTGTTGCAGAAACAGACGTCCAGCTCATTCTCTTTGGAAGCAGGTGCTGATGGGTGCACACTGGCTCTTTGGCTCACAGCTATCTGCTTAGCCCTTGTACAACGATGTCTCCTCTAAACTCAGATTACTCAGACAAAACTAATGGAGGTGTGCTCATGGTTTCTTGCTTGTCC